ATCGGGGATTTCGGTGAACTTGGTGCTAATCATTATCTTCCTCGGTCATGTAAAATAAATCAGTTTATTCTAGAATACTAGTATAGGCACATTGTTTAATACAGTGTAGTTCAATACTAGTTCTTTCAACAACAAACATTATGTCCGAGATCTTACTTCTGTGGTAATGGACGTAAAGCTTAAATAGACGAGACGAGACAGTCAGCGGTGTAACTATTTGGACTGTATGAGCATAATAGGTGTACTGGGGTGTCACCGAGGATATCTTACTTTGTGTAATTCTAATTTTCTTAAATAGTCGGCGCTTTCCTTAAAGGTAAGGTCCCAGATGGTTTTTGGAGGGTAAAACTGTTTAATTTTGTGAGAAAATTCCGTATAAACTTCTACATTAGCAACTATTGCAAGCTATATTATTCATTTTTACGCGTTTTCAGTAAACTAAGTCTGTAGACATTTCGTCTGTGAATATTGAGTCTCTGGAAAAACCCGACTAACTTTCCTATACTTAACACACTATCTACTAGTCGCGTTTGTCAAGGCGTCCCGTTTTTTTACCTCCACTAAAATCCCTAAGTGAGTTCCGAAACCCGGTTAAGCGCTTTTAATATTCATGTAAAAGGTTAAGCGCTTTTAATATTCATTTGAAAACCTGAACTATCTTGGACTGCCCCTTTAAAATATCAAATTAAAATCCAAAAATAATTTTGTTATAAAGATATCTCTTGAAATCTACTGTATTTGGTACATAGACTATAAGTTCCACTTAACTAATAATAACGAATAACGAAGCTTAAAGGGACAATCCCACTCTTGTTGTAACTTACAAACATGTCCCAATCTTCATTTCGATTAATAAATTGTAGTATTATAAGATATTTCAATGTATTGGTGCTATATATTTCATCTGAATCAACCTATTTTTAAAATTGGAAAAATTACGGCCAACTTATTATCTAAAAATATGAAAAACTTGAAGCGAGTTTAATACCCCCATTTCACTGGGCCACGGAAGACTTGCAGTCAGTTGCGGAAGCAAATCCTCAGGTGTACCGCAAAAGTCTTCCTTCTCATTCCGTATGGTTCCGCTAGGAAGCGCAGTGAACCCGTAGTTCACATTTTCTGCAAACGTTCCTTTAAACATTGTTGCGGATACATTTGCCGTATTCTTCCGCAATTAAACCGGGACCGACATAAGGACAACTTGCGGGTCACACTCGGTAATGGCGGAAAATGCGCGGAATAACTACGGTAGCTGGCGATACTAATCCGTCTGGCACGGTAGCACTTCGGAATAACTGCGAAATACTTGCGTTCTACACGGAATAACTGCGGAACAAGGATGAAGTTCATCCGTAATCTTCCTTACACGAACACAGGTCAGCTATGACCATTTAACACCTGAAAATGAATAAGCACGAAAGTAGCAACTGCGCATGCGCTTTTATAATATCTCCGAATTTAAGTCTGAAGTAGGAATTCTGAACTCAGAAGTAAGAACTCAGAACTCAGAACTCTGAATTCAGAAGTGGGAAGTCGGAACACAGAAATTAAAAAAAAAGTAAATGAGCTCTGTAGGCTTTCGTAGTATAGTAGATAAAATATCTCAGATTATATCCTGTGTTACGAAACCACGCCAGTTGACTTAATGGCCGATCTTTTTATTTTTTTATTTTTTTTTATTTTTATTGATTAAAGCGATCTACACTTCGTTTCAGAGCGCTGTACAAATATAAATAAGACAGTTTACACATTTAAAACCAAATTAAAACAAACGACTGACTAGGCTATAAATTGAATTGTTTTTTAAAATAAAATGTTTTTAGTCCGGATTTAAAAGTCAATAGATTTGGTGATTGGCGCACACTGCGTGGAAGCTCGTTCCACAAGAACGGGGCAACCACAGAGAAAGCCCTCCAGCCGTATCTCTTGATGGTAGTTCGTGGATTTTCCTTCGTCTTCTTGTGTTTATCCGTTCTAACAAGTGTTACATTGTTCGAGTCACCAGATCGCAAACTGCGATTTCTTGGAACATAGCGCTCAATCAGTGAACTGAGATAATGCGGAGCATGACCACTTAGAATTTTACAAACGAATAACATAATTTATGTTTAAAGCCTGAGTTGGTTAAAGGGAATTCCTGATGGAACGTTTTAGTTATCATAGTCCTGAACCACTGCGACCAACCTGGATGTCATTTCTAACAAATACTGACTATCGGCTGCTTCATATTAGATAACAACTGTGGGCCTATATGTTTTTTCTATGTAATGAGTACCAGTACTGCCATCCTCTGTAGGATAAATGTTATGGGCAGTTGTGGGTTCTTGATATATGGACCAGTTTTCTTCAGATAAGATAACATCAGTCTTTTTTCCACTTTCTAGTCTACCATGTACATTTACCAAACCAACCCACAAAAAAAATTCAATGCTATTATGATTATGAGATAATTTATGATTGAATACCAGTATCTTACCTTTTGGTAGGCTTAAATGTTACAATTTGTTGTTCGTTGAGTCCAGCTATTAGAGCAAAGTAAATAACCCTTGCTTTTATTCATTCTCATAATCAAACATGTTCTCTTGAATCAAGCAAATATACAGTCAAAAAATTATTGTATTCAATATGTAAAAGATATTCAAGGCATTTCACTTTCTCGACATGAAAAAATAAATACAAATAATTAAAGATGCATTATGTAAGATTTAGATTAAGAGCTAATCATTCTCGCTATAATAAATAACGCACCTTTAATTGCGTGACACAATCTAGAATCGCCTAATTGTTGAAAATACAGGCACTGACCTACTTAAAACTATAGGCCTGTATCAGTTGGACCCATAATTCATCTATGTAGCTCAGCTATGAATAGTGAAAATGAAATAAAATGGGGTTTAACATCCTATTGTTCTGCTCCATCTGGGCTAATGAAGACTGGGCAATACAGTGTGCCATGAGCTAAATGTTGCCTGGACAGCGGTGATACAGCCTACTCTTATATCGAATTTCAACTGCCAAGAGTTCTTCTACGTGCACACAATGCGTATACAAGGGACTTCGGTTTTACGTAACATCCGAACGACTATACGTTGTCCCTTGACAAGGTGGAACCACGCTTGCAATCTTGGCCAACACAAGGATCGAAAACAGGACACCCAGGTCAGCAAGCTACTGTCATACTCTTTGAGCAACCGTGGCCCCCGCTCTGAATAGTAATAGTTTGCCCCATAACACATCTATTTGTCTCATATATGAATAGTGCAAATAAAATAATGGGGTGTAACTTCCCACTGTTCTGATAAAATGAATGATAAAGAGTATTTCAACCCAAAACATTTATAAACCACCCCCTCATAACGAACTTCAAGTCTGTTCTTACTGTTGTTGAGTGGGTTTTTTATAATATCTACTCCGTAGGCCTACTTAATAAAGCAAGCAAGCCCTGTTCAATGAAGCTTAACTTCCGAAACGATATTGTCCTAGTCCTACAAGTAATTACCGGTTATTTTTATTTGTGTGCAGGTCCGCTCTGTGGCAAGATAAACCCCGCCACGCTCTCCAGTTATTCTTCACACAAGACAGTGTGTTAGAAATTTTTTGAAATCTGAGTTTAGAGCATTATCAAATTAATTATTGTGACTGCATGGTTGGTAAAACAGGACGACATTATGCACAATACTGGATCTTCAAAATCGTGCGAAATATTTTGATACCAACTGTTATCCAGTACCGCCTAGATTATGCTCCCACTCCCAGGGTTAGGGTTAGGGCTAGCCCTGTTTGACGAAATCTGCAGGTCCTAGTCTTTACCCTAACCCACAATCCCCAACACCGTCTCCGAACTAGCATTCTCCCAAAATATTTTGCACGATTTTGAAGATGCAGTATTGTGTCGACAGCATACGCTATGATATGCTCATAATTATAGTCTAGATCTAAGATCGACTCTTCTAGGTCGAGATTTGGGGTTTCCAATTCTTGACCTATTTCATTAAATATTCATACTTACTTGTGAAAACCAACGTCCTGTGCTTTCGTCAAAGGATTCATGTTGATAAAACACCCGAAAGCGAAACACTGTGGAACACGAATATTGGTTTTAGCAGCAGGTAGAGTCGACTGATGACACGAGACTACAAAAATAAGGGAGACAACTCGCAATCAGTTACGATTCATAGCTGGATAACCGCGGCACTATGGCAACGCTTGGAACGTGAAAAAAAAATTTAGAAAATAAAAAAAAAAATTTGTCTTAGAAAATATATATTTTTTTTTATTTTTTAGAAAATATTTGTTTTTTTCATGAAATATAAAAATGAAATGAAATGAAATGGGGTTTAACGTCCTACTGTTTTGCTCCGAACTGGGCTAATGAAGACGGGCATACGCCATACAGTGTGCTATGAGGGTAATTTTGCCCGGACAGCGGCACTACGGCCTACTCTTATATCGAATTCCAACTGTCAAGGGATCTTTTACGTGCACGCCAATGTGTACACGGGACCTCGGTTTTTCGTCTCATCCGAATGACTAGACAGCTGTCCTTGTCAGGCCCTCCGTCCTGCATCACTGACAAGGGGGAACCACGCCGGAAAATCTGGATGAACTTTCTCGGCCAATGCAGGGATCGAACACCCGACCTCCAGGCTAGCGAGCCAGCGCCTTACCCACTTACCCACCGTGATCCCCTTCATAAAATATAAAAATAGATTGTTCATGAAATAATAATAAAAAAAAAAAAAAAAATTGTTCATGAAATAAAAAAAAATATAATAACGATAAAAAATAAAATTAAAAAAAAAATTTAAAAAAAAAAAAAAAAAAAAAAATAATAATAATAATTTTACAACAGTAATTAAAAAAAAAAAAGAAAATGAAAATAATATAAATAAATTTAAATTGTTTTTTAAATGAATAAAAAAAGAATTAAAAAAAAAAAAAAAAAAAAAAAAATATTAAAATTTCATGAAAATAATGTGTATTTGCTACACTGAAAAAAAACTTGTGTTGGATCTCAACACAAGTACTTGTGTGAAAATTATTCTACACAAGTTATGTGTTGTTTTGCATTGCATTAACACAAACTTGTGTTCTTTTTAATGCATTAACACAAATCTTGTGTTTTTTCCATATAATTAACACAAGTAATGTGTACCGTCAACAAATATTTTTTTTTTTAAATTTGAACTCCATACAAAGTCTTAATCCGGGGGTCCACAAGTAAGAGAAAGGTATTTTTTACTCAGACAATATAGCCAGACAGACTTGAATGCTAATTGGTGTTAAGATGTCTGTAGTTGAAATAAAGTTGGGCCCAATAAACTGGTAGATCAAAGGCCTGTTGAGCGCTCATGCCCGGTGTGATTTTAACAATTGACTCCAAATGCGTTGACAAGAAAATAAGTAAAACTGTTATTGAATGTGATTGGTTGATAAAATCAACGTACTATAGGCTACATTTTGTCTGCGATATCATCTCGGTGGAAGCGGACATTAAATGAAGTGATTCCACACAATTAATCTTGTGTTTTTTCCATATAATTAACACAAGTAATGTGTACCGTCAACAAATATTTTTTTTTTAAAATTTGAACTCCATACAAAGTCTTAATCCGGGGGTCCACAAGTAAGAGAAAGGTATTTTTTACTCAGACAATATAGCCAGACAGACTTGAATGCTAATTGGTGTTAAGATGTCTGTAGTTAAAATAAAGTTGGGCCCAATAAACTGGTAGATCAAAGGCCTGTTGAGCGCTCATGCCCGGTGTGATTTTAACAATTGACTCCAAATGCGTTGACAAGAAAATAAGTAAAACTGTTATTGAATGTGATTGGTTGATAAAATCAACGTACTATAGGCTACATTTTGTCTGCGATATCATCTTGGTGGAAGCGGACATTAAATGAAGTGATTTCACACAATTAATTTAACATTTAACAACGTGCTGAAATGATTTTGGAGCAGTGATATGTTTGACAAATGTAAGCTAATGGTCACATAGAATACAAGACCGCAGGTTTGTGAATATTTATATAAAAAAATAATACCATGTATGTAATTTAGCATCGATAGTGTTTCTCTGTATAATATTAGTATTTCGTTTCCTTAAAAAAAACTCCAACAATTTAAACCGGAAGTTCATGTTTATAATATGGCGCGGTCAGGAAAAAAAATTCGGCATGTTATTATCAAATCTGTTCAATTTTTCTGAAATCATGCTTAATTAACATTAGTTGTTCGGCGCTACGATGTTGTTCAAATACTTACATTACAGAATCACATTATGATTAAGGCAGAAACGGCTCGACTTGAACCAGCAGGTAAGAATCTGTTTTGAAATTACATCTTGGGAGGTTGGATTGGCGTTGGAGACCCGATTGGCGGCCATTTTGATTCTTGTTTCATGATTTTTTTATATTATAACGATTTTGCCAAGAGTAGACATAAACGCGGGCACAGACTAGAAAAAAATCTTTTTACACCTTTGTGTTAGTTGAATTGTAATCTAATTTATGTTTAAAAAAACAACCTTAAATCTAATAAGCAGACGGAAGATATGGACGAACAACAAGAAGAAGTTATGGAGGTCCCAACAACTGAACCTATGGAAGTAGAAGAATCGTTTACAGCCGAAACCCGATACGATGTGCCAGTTCCGGTCATGGAGTCCTCCATCTCAGACGATGCCGACGATAGTGTCTTCTGCGACGAAGAACCCGTAGTGGTGTATACGCAGGTAGAAGCTGGTACCTCCCGTGGCAAGTCCAAGTTGTTTGACAACCAAGGGTTTAGTTATACAATTAAGGTAGGGTGATTTATTTTACCTAGTTAACTACCTTGTATAGAAATGTATTTCAGCTACAAAATGTAACCTCTATAATAATAAATGAATTTAATATATTTTAGACAGAGAAGAAAACTACGATTTGGAGGTGTTCCAAAAGAAGCGGACCAACACGATGTCCGGCAGCAGTAATCCAAGATGGTGATACATACCAACCAGGCTTAAAGAACCATCTTCACCCAGCAGAACCCGGTATACACACGGCTACCAAGATAAAAGTTACAGTAGGTTTAAAAATTATATATCAATTAAATTAAAAATTTATATATGTGTGTAAATAAATAAAATATAAATAAACCAATAATATATTTGTAGTTTAATATGTTTTATCTTATCATTACAGGCAAAGCATGAAGCCAAAGGAAATGTTTTTACCAAGTCATGTTCCTCAATAGCGGAGAGAGTTTTATCCAGTGTCGGTTCTGCAGAAGAACCCATTCATAGCAGACCACCCATGGCAGCACTTGTAAGGTCTTCTATTAATGTGTTTTCCAATCGCTAAATGCCACTTAAAGATTATGTACAACGTCAATATGGGGATGTGGCAGTTAAGTGTGTTCGTCAGATCAGTAAACTTGAAGATAAATATATAAGAGTGAGTAATAATTTAACTTTTCTCATGAGATGCAGAGACGGTGACATTGTGCCACAAGGGTTAAAACTAAAGGGTCCAGTAAATTCCAATGCAGCCGAAAAAATTCTTCTACAAGCCAGTAAATCCCTAATACGTGAAAGAATACAGCATCATAGGAACACCAAATACCGACTATTGGGACAAATAGAAGACTTACACCAGGAACTCAACAACCTAGTTACAAACGAAGACTTTATCTCCATCCGCAAGGCGCAGACCTCCGCCAACCAAGCCATTGAAGGGAGTATTAAACAACGTCATCAGAAAAAGTTTGATGAGCTCATAAAGAGTAAACCTACTACCAAGAAATTAGACACAACCCAACTCAAGACAGATTTTCTCACCAAGACAGTAGTTAATCTTAGCAGCAAAGAACTGACAGATGATCAAATCAACTTACTTTCAAAGGGTTTAAAGTTTGCACCATCCTGGGCACCCAGTAAACATGATGTTTTCATCGCCAACATAGAGAAAGGTTTATGTCAACTAGCCCCAGGCGGTAAAGTAGAGTTCCTTCGCCACCAGATAGCTAACCTAATAATGAAATCAACTACTAAGAAGAACTGCTACAACATTTCCAAAGGTGAAACCAGGGCTACACAAGAACTGAAGGAAGACAAGTCCATAGTAATTATACCAGCCGATAAAGGAAAATCCACTGTAATCATGAACTCTGATGACTACAACTCCACTGTGGACCAACTACTTAAAGACACTACTACCTATAGAAAGATACGAAAAAATCCAACAACAACATTAGAAAAACATTTAAATGACAAATTAAAAGAACTGTGCGACTCTCAACAGATAACCAAAGATCTTTCCTACCAGTTAAAACCTAACCACCCACGTCCTCCATACGCCCGAGCCACTATCAAAACGCATAAGAACCCAATTAAGGCTAGATTATTAGTTTGTTCTAGGGACTCTGTTTTTTACAATGTTGCCAAACACCTATCTAAGCTTCTCGCCCACTTAGGAACATCCTCTACCTCCTTCATCCAAGACTCTGGTAGATTTTGCAGGATAATAAGAGAAATAAGCCGCCCTGGAAGAATAGTGTCATACGATGTAGTAGATCTTTTCACCAATGTACCTCGTCAAGAAGCTATTGAAGCTCTCCGCTCCAGAATCAACGACCTCGAAGTCCCCCTGGAAACAAAATTATCCACAGATAGCATCCTTGAATTGACCACCATGTGCCTTGATTCCACATACTTTACCTGGGGAGATGACCTTTACAAGCAAGTCAGGGGCTTACCGATGGGCAGCCCCCTTTCACCTTTAATTTCTGAAATTTTTATGACTCAATTTGAAGAACGTGCCCTTAGTACCTCACCCGTTACTCCTATTACATGGCTGCGCAAGGTTGATGATACTTTTGTGGTTCTGGATGAAAATGATGAACCAATGTCTCTTTTAGATCACCTCAATAAACAGCACCCCAGTATCAAATTCACCATTGAGACCGAGATAGATGACACTCTACCATTTTTAGATGTACAAGTTGTTAAGGTAAATAATCAATTAAAAACCAAAATATATCGAAAACCAACTCACACTGATCAGTACATTAATTTCAACTCAAGCCACCCCCACTACATCAAAAAAGCTCTGATATCCACCCTAGCACGAAGAGCCATTAGCATTTGTGAACCTGAATACCTGCAGGGAGAATTGGAACATCTACGCCATGTATTTTGCAACTTGAACCATTACCCTCCATCACTAGTCAATAAGCAAATTAATGAAATATCCAAAAACATCAACAGAAGTCAACAAAAAACACCAAAAGAGATGATTAGAGTAACCTTGCCATTTCACGGCAACCTAACATATCAAGTGAGTAATTTACTTAAGAAGTACAACATCGACACTACTTTCTCTGTTCCCACAACCTTGAAACAGATACTTAAAGCTAATGGCAAACAAAAACCAACCCTACCTGTTCAGCCTAAAGGAGTTGTATACAAAGTGAATTGTTCGCGTGATTTTTCATATATTGGCGAAACTAAACGTCCACTTGATAAGCGAATATCAGAACACCGGTCCAAAACTGCCACCAACAACTCGGCCGTAGCGGAGCACTTACAGAACCACCCGCAGCACAAAGTCGATTGGAATGGGGTGCAGATATTAACAACCAACCAACTGAATAGAAAAACAAGGAAAATCCTAGAAGCGATTAACATTAGGCGCTATTCACCCCAACTAAACAGGGACGCGGGGCTGCATATTTCAAGGGCATACGATCAGGTCATCAAAATGAACAATTCAACTTAAGTTACAACCCATTAATCACAAACTTTAACTGTTTAGTAAGTCTGAGAGAATTGGCAGTGTGTACTTGCCTTCTTACTATTAGTATGTATGTATTAGTAAGTTAAATGGTCCCCCCCCCCTTTATCACCCCATTTATTACAATATGTTTCCAACCTATGGCCTTTTTCTGGACTGTTTAATTTATTAGGCTATTAACTTCATTTGTCATTTCTTTTTGAGCGTTCACATACTATTAGTATGTATGTAATAGTAAGTTAAATGGTCCCCCCCCCCCTTTATCACCCCATTTATTACAATATGTTTCCAACCTATGGCTTTTTTCTGGACTGTTTAACTTATTAGGCTATTAACTTCATTTGTCATTTCTTTTTTTTGAGCTTTCACACTCTTAATTTTTTTCATTGTCATAACCACTTGCTCATCTACCATACATATTATCACCTATCTTGTTTATTTAGCCTTCTGTTAATGGACTATGCAATGCCTACATTAATTTATTATAAGTGTTATCCATATCTTAGTAAATGGTTTCATCCGTATTACCTCATTGAAACAACATAACAACATCCAACGGCTCCCTTTGATGGTCTTCATAATTAGCTAAATGTGTTCCATTTGTTGTTGATTGTCTAATTAACCACCCTACTTATCTTATGTCTAATTTGTTTAATCCTTTATCTTTATTGTTATTGTTATTTTATCTTATTATATGGTTTCACCATGTCCAATCTTATATATTCATCTGAAGTTTATGAAATGTCATTGTGCTTGATAACGATAAGAGGATACTTGTCGAAACGTCGTGCTTTTAGAATAAACCAGTGATTGTTTCCCATAAAAATTGTGTTCTATTAATGTGTTTTCCAATCGCTAAATGCCACTTAAAGATTATGACTATTATAAGGTAAATAGCACTTACTGATTGAATTACTATTAATAGTAAAAAAGGACTATTATTTGGGACCTTGAAATTGTCACAAATGGGTCGCACTAACAGCGACATTTGTTTCAGGCATATTTGTTTCATCGGTGACACGTCTGGTGTCATGTGAATGCAACGACAACAGCCTGGTTGATTGATTTGTTGATTGGAGTTCAGATGTCTACATTAAAATCGACCACTTTCAGGTTGCCGTATTCACGGCCAGGCAAGACCGACTTGAAATTTCTAGAAATTTTTCTGGGGGAGACAGGCCCCAACAAATCCCCCGACGGTGCGTTTCACGACTTTGGCGCAAGACGGTGACATTGAAGAGACGTCGAAAACCATTTAATAGACATAGTAAAAGTCATATCTTACGAGATTATCGCTGGTCTTTTCAGAAAATGCTATTTTATATATGACCAGTTTGTGTTTGAAAAATTTAAAAAGAAATTATTTATTCTCCCACCATTAAAGCACACTTATTACGAAATATCGCTCTCAGAAACTTCATGGTTTCTTTTGCAATTTGTTTGGGGTAAGACGTTATATAAATAATATCAATCTGTCTACCACACAAATTTAACAGATACAAATGCATGTTATTCCACAGGTAGACAGACAGGGCCTCCTTTGAAGGGAGTCAGTGAAGGGAACGCGGTTGGTTAAGAGTTTGTCTGACCCCTTTGAATATTTGCGTCTCATCTCCAATGAAAACAATCATGTTGCTCTCATGCTGTTCTCAACCAGAATCAAACATATATCGTACCCGAGATTTGTTAGCATGTTCCACACAACCCAACATTTATCGGCACCGGGATTAAGGGTGTATATCTTTGTTTCTAACGCTTATTGGGAATACGCCACGGAAACTACAATAAAAACTTATTTACAAAAACATTCTAAAGAGTGAAAACTGACATATTTCAAGCTTTACTGTATTTAAAGAAATAATTTAAATCAGCCGGCTGAAACCCCGTCTCCGCTATTTGTTCAGTCATTCTTTAGGTATAGTGCCAGTTTCCACCGACAATGATATTGTAAACAAGTGTCCAATCTATAAAAGCATACATTCCTACAAAATGTTTCTTTAGTCAAGTGAAACAATAAATTTCTAACTATGCGAGGGTGTGGTGAGTAAATTCGTGGTAACAAGTCTGAAAAAGCTAATGTGACATAGAACAAGGTCACATTGATGTTGACAAATACGTAAGACGATATGAACATCAACTAAAAAGATATGTAATGTGATTCAGCTGCAAGGTAATATATGCATACATGCAGCATAGATAATTAAAACTTCTATTCAAGTTAAACCAACTGTATCTATTTATTTAAGTCTTACGTCGAGCTGAATACATTTTATGATTTATTGTCATCTATTGGTGGTTAACAGTGTGTAACTAAAAGCTAAAATTGGATCTTATTATTGCCAATGATATAATGTACATGTAATAGCAAGTGTATATATATTTTTTGTTCAGTCTGTACACAGTAACATATCTGAGACCTCGATTTACGTATCATCTGAATAACTAGACACTGTTTCTTGCCAAGCGCCAATTCTTAAACAGTCGGCAAGTGTACATCACACTGAAAAATCCCGGGGAGTTTTTCCCAGCCAACAACATATTTTAATCCCAATATGTCCCCCGCCACTCACTTTTACTCTTTCTCATAGCCTAGTTAATATTATTTATAGCGAAATACACGCGTTACAGGGTTATGGTCGTCAATAGGTAAAGTAATGATTGAATAAGTTTATAGAAAGCGTATAATATATTTGAAAAAGTAACTTGCAGTGTGTATAACAGATA